AAAGATTCAGTTTCAAAGCCCTGAACTCTCGTGAAAATTAGTTGAGACACACGAGACTGGGTCCAAGGATTTGCTTCGAGTAGGAGCAGGACTACAGATGCAGTTTTTTATTTTTTACCCCCAACAGTGTCGGCTTTGATGATGACTTTCACCTGGTCTTGTCAGAACACTAATAGTTACCACACTGTGGCTTGACTGCAGAGGTCAATGAAAATGGATTGACTTTGGCCAGATGTTCCTCAGATTGGCCTGATCAAGATGCAGGTACTGTACAGGGAGAAAAATCCCCACTGAGGCGGATAATCCCTTGGTTCAAAGATGTGGTTTACCATCTATAAATCTTATCATTATAGTGACAGAGACTCCTCAGGTGTTCCGTAATTGGTGGAGCATCATGCTGCTGCCAGCATGCTCTCTCTCTGTTCAGGTCAACTGTGTCTTGGATCATTTTGGAATGAGTCTGTTCTTTAATGCCATTTAGACAGTGATGCAAGGCTGATGTTGTCCTTTTATTAATTGTTTCATTTATCTTTTAATTTATCTTTTTATTCTGTCTTGATCCTGCTCATTATCATAATAATCGTTATTAGGGTCCGGGCAGCTAAACTGCCAGGACACTATTGTAATCCTAGGTATTCTTCTTCTTCTTCTTCTTCTTCTTCTTCTTCCAAGGAAATCATACTTCCCATGGGTGAAAACTCACCAAACTTTGCACAAAGGTCCAGTCTCATGCCAGATATCCTCAGCTGTAAACTCAAGCCAATAGTCCTGATGGTGGCGCTACAGCAAGTGTCTAAAGTTCAAAACTTTGAAAATTCATAACAAATCAACCATACATGCTACAACTTCACAACTTTCATCAAACTGTAGCCTGAATACTGAAGAAACTTTTGTACACTTAAACCTATTAAAAATTATGAAATTCATCACCCCGGGTTTTTTTTTTTTCAAAAACTGTAAAACTTCTTAAACCTATCTCCTCCCACAATTTGTGCTCAATTGACACCAAACTTGCTACAGAGCATCTTCAGACTGTCCTACACAAACTACGTTTCTCAGATTTTTGATTTATCAAAAATTGAGCCTACAGTGCATCAAAATGTTTGACTGTAAACGGTACTGTAAACATATACATGCAAATTCTTGCTAAATAAATCTTCAATGTTCATGAAAAAAAAAAATTGATGTGATGTGTGGCAAATTTCAGAATTTTATCTCAAAAACTGAATTTTTGACAGCATTTTGAATTTTGCTCTAATGTGAACAATTGGAGTCAATGTAAAAATGGCAGTTTTTCACTTATGGAGCAAATCAATCATTGTTACAAACAAATTACCAACATCTCCATGCTGTCTAGATGCAATATGTGTATTTTCAGATTTCTGTCTTCACTGAATTTTTTTTTACACTGTTTTCAAATCTGCCTTTCCATGCACGGATGGCTGCTTTCCTACACAACAGTGAATCGCTTACTCAATTTGTGAAGCCACTGTTGAGTTGCTATTTGCCAATTAGCTCAGAGTGGTAGATGACCGTCTTAGGTTCCAGAGGTTGCTCAGAATTGCCTAAAAATGCCCGGACCCAAAATAATGAATTTGTGTTTTCTGTTTTTTTTTTTTTTTAAAATTGTATTTACTTTTATTGGTATGTTTTTTTATTGTTTTTTTATCTCTATCTCTAATTATCTTCTGTCTTCTTTCTAATATGTTTTAGAAAGTTAGTTTTTCCTCTGATCAAATGTTTAATTCTACCTTAATTTTTGTTGGCAGTTCGGCATTATCTTTTCTAAAGGTGCTTTAAATATAAAGTTATTATTATTACTATTACTTTTATTTCATGTCATTTTATTTTATTTTATTTTATTTTATTATTTATGTATTTTCAGCGCTTAAAAGCCAGAGATTTGACCCATCAGTCAGAGACCCCTCAGTCGACAGAGATCAGTCTTCTTGATTTTTTGCTACTCAGTGCTGTGCAGTGTACTTCCAGGACCGTTTGGGTCCCTTGATTTTGCTGCAGAGTGAGAGCTTGTGACTTTCACACTACTTTTTGGTACAGACAACTGCGAACACGATGCAGCGGCACAGAGGAGAAACTTTCCATCCTAAGGCACCGAGATAATATTATCTTCTGTCATCTGCTTCGGGGATGTGAATTTACAGCTCACAGATACTTAATACAACACAGATTCTGGCTTTTGTTTGATATCTAGTGTCGGCAAAAAATGTTGTTTCACATTTCTGATCTGTCGTTAGTGCTGTTTGCTGAATGGCTGAATCTCATTCAACTAATATCATTCTAAGATGGGTACAGCCCCTGATACACATGCTGATAAATGGTAATATCAGACACATAGAGACAGACACATAGAGACAGACAACCATTCACACTCACATTCACACTTACGGACAATTTAGAGTCACCAATTAACCTGCATGTCTTTGGACTGTAGGAGGAAGCTGGAGTACCTGGAGAAAACCCACGCTGACACAGGGAGAACATGCAAAGGGATTCGGCGGATTCAAACCCAGAACCCTCTTGCTGTGAGATGACAGTGCTAACCACTTTCCCACTGTGCCACCAAATTCAGTTATAGCCTTTGGTTTTGTCGTTACCCCTATGAAAAAAAATCTGGGGACACCAATACATTTACATCAGGTGTCCTTTGTTGTATTTATTAAAAACATTATTTAATTAATGAAATAATACAATTCACTTTTTCCAGATCGGTTCCAGGAGACCCCTATTTTGCAATTAGATGTGAATGAAACTGTTTTTAGTGGATTTCAGACGGTCCATCCAAGAAGAAAAGCTTCATCTGCTGTTTCAGCAAATGCCCAAAAACACCATGTCTCTATGTTCAAGTGACAAAGCCCTCGAGTGCAGTGGTTCTCAAACGGTGTGCTGTGATACCAATCCAGGCGTGCCATGGGATTTTGTGATAACCTCACATTATTATGGCAATATTCAACTGGGCCTATTCAAAAAGCTGTAAATTATTTTTTAATTGACTGTATCAGTATGTGGTGTGCACCCATTTCCTAATAAAGAGGCAAACTCCAGCTAAAAAACGTAATTTAATTTAATTTAAATCTCAGGGAACCTATTTGTTGCCTTCACGAGTAGGAATTATTAGTGTGGCACATCAAAAGCCTCGATCGGCCGCCAGTGTGAGGGATGATAACATTTAAGAGAAGAAAGCTGTGAGTGGGACAGTGGATTGCTTTACTGAGCGGAGCAACTTGAAGCAAAACACCAGCAAAGATGACCTATCGCCGAAAGAAAAGCAAAAAAACAAAAAACAAAAGCTACATCTTATTTTATCTTATTTTTATTGTCTTATGTCGTGATAAGGGTGATAACACACATTATAGAATCTGTTGTGCACAGATATAAAAACAGATGTGCCTCAAGATTTTGGCTCAACCTTTGGTGTCAAAAATTTTGAAAACTACTGATCTATCAGCGTGCACACAGAGACACACACACACACACACACACACACACACACACACACACACACACCTGCAAAGCAACAGCTGGTGGTGCCCCATCCCAATTTCACTCGACCTCAAAGACAACTCTGCAGCATTTCCCAAAAGAATCATCTGTCTATTTTCTTTGTCTTCCTCCTCCCTCTATTATTTCTTTGAGTATCATAAATAATTCCTAAAACAATAACCAACCTCCCAAACATGTTTTCATACGCTCCATGTGCTCATCCTGGTCTCTCACTCACCACCACATCCATTTTAACATATTAGTCTCCAAATTGTGGAGCTCACTTAGTCATCTCCGCACACCCTTTTATTAAAGTCAAAATATTTGAGACATAGCTGGATTTATACCAAAATATTTTCTGTTATATAAAAATGAATGCATTTACAAATTAACCCCAGCTATTTTTTTAAATGTACTGATATGTTGTATTTTATTATCAGAATCAGAAATACTTTATTTAATACTTTATTTATCGCCGAGAGGAAAATGTGATTCATTACACTCACTCCAATGTAAAGAATAGAGAATTATGAACAGTAAGAACAGGAGTAAGTATGTAAATATAATGTAATGAAATACAATCAAAAAAAAATTAAAATACACATTATGCTACAATGTCAACACTAGTGCTTAAGATACTAAGAATAAATATATATCTTCACTGTGTTGAGTCTGTAAGTGTGTAAAAATAAACAGATATGTGCATTGTGCTACATTACACTGTATAAACTAGTGTTACATCTTGAGAGAATTTAAAAGTCAAACACTAGTAAGCTGTGTCTGGAGCTGTGAGAAACACTGGTGAAAATATGTTGATATTCTCCACACAGAGCAAGTTCCTCTGTTCAACAATTTATTTTAACTTTTTGTGTTCAAGCTTACATTCTGTTATATTTATGCTCACATGGTGGAGTGCATGTTAATTCCACAATTTCAAACGTTTTTAGACAATTAAAGACCAAACCAGTTGAACTTTGGTCTTTAATTGTTTTATTTTATTATTTATACCGGCATGCTCTTATTTTGAAGTTACTGTAGTGCAGATAAAAAATACAAATTAAACTTTGCCCAAACTTTTTGGCTTTTTAGACAAAAGACACACACGGCTCATCTGCTACAATGGCAGTGAACTCAGGACATCATAATTTTGATTTACTTGGCGTGTTTGGCGAATGAGTATCGCCTGCTTTCCTTTTATTCCTTCCCCTGAGCAATCGTCTTTAATCACTGTTTAAGATATGCTACAGGTCAATTTAACAGGTCAAAAAAACAAAACAAGCTTGAACACCAGATTTGCTCCATTGTTGTGGCTCAGCATGTTTAACACATTTGGCCTCAGTCTGCCTCAGGTCTCTGAAAGGTTAACATGATAAACATTCTGTTGATAGCTATAAACACCAGAGCCAACAGTCCATGTGTTCGAACCCTAACGACAGCCCAGCTGGCTCTAAAAGAGAGAAGAATGCTGGATGAACCCCAAGTACCATCTTTTCTCTTACCTGTCATAGAAGTCTTCTCTGTAGTAATCGTAGTCAAACTCATAGCCACTGGGAAGAAGCACAAAAGCACACAGTGACTGCACAAAACAAATGTGATACAACGCTCTTCATAACACAGGCATGAAACCACACTAAAAACAACACATGGGAACAAAAGTGTTTGGGCAGGGGTTTCCATGCATGCACAAATGCAAAAAAAAAAAAATTTGCATAAAAAGGCAATAATCACAAGCTGTGTGGGAGAGACAAAGAAAAACCACCACATACTTCATTTCACCCCAAGAGACAGAAAGAAAGCCATAAATATGACAATGTCAAAAGAAAACCTGGCAACAGGAACTGGATTCTTGAGAATGATGTAGGCCTTCAGAACATTTAATGTTTTCTGACACGTTTTACAAGTGCTGCAAGTAGGCTACGCATGAAGTGTTAGCACACATGTCCTGGATAGAGCATTTAGTGGAGGGGGACACAGTGAAGTCAGGGGTTCTTCAATTAAAGAATAAAAACCTTGTAGAACTATGTAGCTGTAAATGATGTAAAAAATAAGAACTCCCCCACTCTGACATCTGTATTTATCAGTGCTGTGAAGTTTAATTAACACACATTAAACACATATTAAACACGGCTTCATAGAGTTCAAACACAAGTACACAAATCAGCTTCACTATAACTCGCGGCATTCACAGACAAACACTTGTCTTTATCTGGACACATTTTCCCCACAAATACAACATGCTAACTTTATTAGCACAAGCCCATGGCATTTTACATTGTATAAATTAGCTTAGCAGCTAGGGGAGATTTCCCCTACTCATATGAAGCCAGGGACAACAGCAGCATTTAACAAAGGTAACGTTACGAAATTAGGCTCCATTACAACTCACAAGGTTCAACAAAGAACAACTGTCTTATACTAAACATGTTTTCCAAACACATATAACATGCTAACGTTATTAGCACAAGCCTATGGCATTTTACATTGTATAAATTAGCCTAGCAACGAGCAGAGATTTCCTCTGCTCATATGAAGCCAGGATAAATCACACACAAGACTTAAAATGCTATTTGTGGAGGCTTTAATGTCTTCACAATTTACTGTTTTTTATTTGGGAAATTAAAGTAAATAAAAGCTTTGTTTCCACTGAGGGAAATGGTTTCAGCTTACAAGGCAGGAGGTCTGCATCTCTGCAACCTGTAGTTACATTTTTGGGGAGATGTACATCAGGCTACAGTGTAGGTACGACGTCAATTCAGCGCAGAAGTATAAATCCAGTTTAAGTAATGAATTACAGTGATAAAGCCTAAAGGAGTTATCAGCTAGCTCTACAGAGTTTTTACAGTCCAGGTGAAGCAAACATAAATATGCATTCAAAGTTTGCCACACCACAAAAGTTGTTAACCCCCCAGCCAAATTCGAATGATTAAAAAATTGCCAAGTACATTAAAATTTATTTTATAATAAAGAAATAAGCAGTATTCTCAGCTCTAAAATGCTGGAAGTGCGTTCACCAAAAACCAGTCTTTTTCGTCTTTTTTTGCAGCAAGCGCCCAAGAACAGGGCTGGGCTTTGAAGCAAATTTTACATAGTGGTCAAATGTGGAATTAAACTTCCGGGTCTGTCACGTAACACCATGGGTCCCAAAATCCATTTGGTCTGATAACATTTTGAATGTCTAGAAGAGCTGCGCAATTAAACCATTTTTATCCCCCTTCAGGTTAGCAGAACGCTAAACTGGAAGTTAGCCACTTGGTTATTTGGCTTTTTGCGCCACCAGGCAACTTTCATAGGAATGACTGGGGGGCCCACGCTGTATCCAGTTCACTTTGTGCATCCAAGCAATGCGGTGTGACAGTGTGACAAAGCAGTGTTCAGAATCAGTTATTAGAGGGAATATTTGCCAATTTCCAACTAGCTCTGTGTTAGTCTCGCCACCAGACAATCAGAGATCTCCGCCTTCTGATAGTCTGGGGACACTCCTTTCTAAAGTGTGTTTAGCACACCGGCGAAAACAGCCGGCAACAAAGCAACGCCTCTTGCATTTTTGAAAAGGACACGCCCTCCTGGAAATGTGCTCTCCCCCTTTTCTCGTCTGCAAGGACACAAACACACAGAGAGCTTGAAAATGGATGCTGAGAGATTTAACTCTGTTTTATTAAATGTGTGCTCAGTCCACAAGATTGTGGAAATGAAGGACTTACAGTGACTTGAGCCATTTTGTACCGCTACACGTGTTTCTAGTCGGACTATGTTTAGTTAGGGCTGGCTCAGGCTTGCCCTGTACCAGCCCCTAGTTAGGCTGACTTAGGCCTAGTCTGCCGGAGGACCCCCTATAATACACCGGGCTCCCTCTCTCTCCCTCTCTCTCTCTCTCTCTCTCTCTCTCTCTCTCTCTCTCTCTCTCACTCTCATCCTATTACTGCATCTTGCTAACTCGGCCATTCTGGATGTCACTAACTTGGCTTCTTCTCCGGAGCCTTTGTGCTCCACTGTCTCTCAGAATAACTCATACCGCAGCGGTGCCTGGACAGTGTGACATGTGTGGTTGTGCTGCTGCCGTGGTCCTGCCAGATGCCTCCTGCTGCTGCTGCCATCATTAGTCATTAGTCATACTTCTACTGTTATTATACACATATGACTATTGTCACACAAGTATACTGTC